AACTTCCTGCCAGCTTCCCCACTGACTTTGGTTGTGGGAAGCTGGCAGGAAGTTGCCTCACCTAACAACTGTGGGATTCAGTTAATGATGGCAACTAGGACTGTAAGGATTTCTGTCACTAAACAATGTGGTCATGCTATATGACCACATTGCTTAGCAACAGAAATTCTTTAGAATTAAAAGACTCACTTAAAAAAAATAGAGTAAGGTAGGCAGTCAGAGAAGATACCAAGGGAACTGTTAATGGGTGCTATGTTTGGGATATTAGCTGCATAGCATAGATTAAATCCTTGTTCCCCTAATAATTCCCTTTGCCATCCCTTTGCTTCTATAATCTCATATTTCTATAGGCACCTCTATGCTAGAACCACTGTTTCCTTCAGTCAAATTCTTTTAACAAATGCACAACAGAAAGGAAGTTATTCAGATAGCCTATCCTTAATATGTAGGACACAGATATGTCTTCTGTCCATTGATAGTATTTTTCTAATTTCTCCCATTACACAGAAGTTGCTCAAATGAATTAATATGATAGACTTGTATGGGATGAGAAAAAAGTCTCAGTACTCCTGTCAGAAGTTCTAATAGCTGTTGCATGAATTCTACAAGTTGTGATGCATTTGCCAAAAATAAGTTAATATGATCTTGTTAAAATGGTTTACATTTGAGGTTAGTGCCAGAGAAGGTAAAAGAAGAGGAAAAACCCTGATAAATAAGTAGCAGGTAGACAGAAAAAGGACCAAATGGTACATGGTCATTTTATGGCAGACAGCTTGATCATAGGAATACTCGTCGACCCCCCCCCCCCAGGAATATGTGTCAATGGGAAAACCAACATATCATAACTTCCTTTCTGTTGTGCTTTCTGTTGTTTGTTCCCTTGGTACCTTTTAATTATAAATAAAATTTAAAAGGCACCATTTTAATTTGGAACAATATGGTTGACAGAAGTCCCACGGGCAGTGGCATCTGCAAGGTGGGCTTTTTTTAAAATTGGCAAGGTGGCAGAGATTCATGATGCAAATGCCACTCTTCTACAACAGCTATGCAACCCTGACACTCCATTGACACATGCACAGTAGGGGCAGGGCTTGTATCACAATGCTCAATTCACCTTCTTTTTGACTTTGACCCTCCCCTGTAGACACCACTGCCTATTAGCATCCTTAGAACATACTAAGGTTAATGTATGAACCTACATATTAAAAAAATAAAGAATAAGCTGAAGGTTGAAAATATGCTGAGACCTAGTTTGTGACAAGCCAAAAGACCCATTTTGAGAATGAGGGAGCTGTGTCTCTCCACCTTAACAGCTCATCATCATCATCTTTATCACCACATGCTCTCAAAGTGTCTATTGTGGCCCAAAAATGCTCTTGCTATGTAGGATCCTAACATGTTATTATGAAAAGGTAAGAGTTGAATGAGAATTATGCAAAAAAGACAGAACAGAGGACACATGCTTCCTGGGACCGGCTAGATGACATTGTGCTATTGATAGCACCCACAGTATGCTCACTCTGCTAGATACAGTGGGGCAGGCAGAAGTCACTGGGCAGAAGTGGTCCTGCAGGTAACCTGATCCCAAGCCAGGTAGGGATTTACAGATCCTTGAATTACACCTGGAACCCTACTGGAGCCACTGCTGCTCACGTAGCAATGATGTTCCATAGATGTATTGCAATGCACACCAAACTGCATGAGCCTCTGTATTCTGGACCAGCTGAAGCTTCCAAATGCTCTTCAAAGGTAGCCTTGTGTAGAGTGTGTTGCAATAGTCCATTCAGTTTGAAAGAGCAGACTGTTGAGGAACAATTGCAGGCTCCTGTGCTGCTCCGCTCCCCTCCCCGTTATATGAGCCTTCTCCCCAGCATTAGCACAGTAGAGTTGCTTATAAAAGCTGCAACCTTGAAATAGGTGGGGGAGGAGATATACATGTTTTGCAAGCTCTGCAGCCAGCAGCAAACAGCCAAATAAATGAAGGCATTTGTCCTTCAAAGAGACTGGATGGTCCAGAGGAAAAGAAGTATAAAGGCAAAGCAAGGAAAAATGCAAGTATAAAAGCACAACGTGGAAAGTTGCAAGTACTGTACATGCTGGCCAGTGACAGAGGAAAAAAAAATTAATAAAAGAAATTCCAGAGAGAAGATTTAAGACAGAACAGCGTTTGGAAGGAAAAAAAAAAACATTATTATATCACAGTATTGCTATAGAGTGTAGTATAGTAATAGTAAAGAGGAATTGTACTAATAGTAGAATAGTTACAAAAGAGAGTATAGTATAGAGGAAATATTGTAATAGTAATTAAATAATAGAGTATAGTAATTGTTATAGTAATAGTAATTAGCATAGTAATATAGGAAAAATAGCAATAGGATAGAATATAAAATAGGCAATAGAAAAGACTTATAAGTTTCATATTTCACTATTGTATCTTAGATAATTTTTTCAAAATAAAACATCTCCCCAACCTTTTATAGGGAGATATAAAAATCCAAGTATCTAGGATCCAGTGTTTTTGGTGGATCTTTTGAGTCTGAGTCAATCAAATTGGGTATAATTTAAAAAGAACCTGTGACAGTTGGGAGGTGAATAATCATAACCGATGTCTCCTGATCCAGCAATGGGTGCAAC